GAGAGAATTCAGTTTCTTTTTTTTTTAAATATATTTTTATTGATTTCAGAGAGGAAGGGAGAGGGAGAGAGAGAAACATCCATGATGAGAGAGAATCATTGATGGGCTGCCTCCTGCATGCCCCACACGGGATCAAGCCCGCAACCAGGGCATGTGCTCTTGGCCAGAATCGAACCTGGGACCTTTTAGTCCACAGGCCGATGCTCTATCCACTAAGCCAAACTGGCTAGGGTGAGAATTCAATTTCTTAAGCTGAGTGGGGGTACACAGGTGTACACTGTATTAATATTTACACTTTGGGTGTAAACTTTTATGTAAAGTTAAGAAATTTTTAGGGTCTATTTTTAGAACTTAGCTTTGGAGTTAGATAGACTTGGATCTCATTCTGAGCTCTGAACTTCCTATGTGACCCAGCGCCAATCACTTAATTATATCATATGTAAAATGAGAAGTTGAAGGATTAGGTGACTTTATATAAGCGTCTAGCATGATGACTAGTCAGTGCTCCAAAAACAGCAGCTGCAATGGGCTTATCTTTCTGGAAATACTCTCTTGGTTTGTAACTAATGGAACAACCATCTTCCAGGAAATTCCAGGAGTTGACTGTGCAAAGGGACACTTCGCCTCCGTGGTTCTCCTCCCTTCTTCAGTCCTTAAATTCATTGTTCTCCAGCCCTAGCCAGTTTGGCTCTGGATAGAGTGTTGGCCTGTGGACTGAAAGGTCCCGGGTTCAATTCTGGTCAGGGCACATGCCTGAGTTGTGGGCTCAATCCCCAGTAGGGGGCATGCAGGAGGCAGCTGATCAATGATTCTTTCTCATCATTGATGTTTTTCTCTCTCTCTCTCTCCCTCTCCCTTCCTCTCTGAAATCAATAAAAATATATTTTTAAATTAATTGTTCTCCAAGGACCTGACCCCCACCCCCTTTTTAAAAATCAGCTTAATTATATATGCATAACCCATGGACACAGATAGTGGAGTGGGGAGGGCCTGGGGTAGGGGCAGGGATGGCCTGGAAGGAGTTGATGGGGGAAAAAAGGGGACATATGTAATACTTTCCATAAAGATTTTAAAGATTTTTTAAAATCAGCTTTATTGATATATAGTTCACATGCCATACAATTCAAATTTAAATTGTACGATTCAGTGTTTTTGGTATATTCACATAGTTGTGCAACCATTGGCACAATCAATTTTAGAACATTTTCCATCATCCCCAGAAGAAACTCTGTACTCATTAGCAGTCACTTCCATTTCCTCAACCCTACCACCACCAACACCCTCAGCCCTAAGCAATCACTAACATACTTTCCGTCTCTATTGATTTGCCTATTCTGGACATTTGATACCAATGGAATCTTATCATATGCGGTCTTTTTTGACTAGCTTCTATCATTTAACAATGTTTTCAAGATTCATTGATATTGATATTGATTGATATTGTAGCATTTATTAGTACAGATACCTTTTTATTTCTTGCAATAAAATATACATGACATAAAATTTACCATTTTAATCATTTGCAAGTGTACAGTTCTGTGACATCAAGTACATTTACACTGTGCAACCGTCACCATCATCCATCTCCAGAAGTCCTTTCATCTTCCCAAACTGAAACTCTGCACCCATTAAAATAATAACTCCCCCTTCTCGCCTCCCCCAAGCCCCTGGCACCCACCATTCTACTTTCTGTCTCTATGAATTTGACTACTTTAGGTAGCTCATATAAGTGGAATCTTACAGTAATTTGTCCTTTTGCGACTGGCTTCTTTCTCTTAGCATAATGTCCTCTAGCTTCATCCATGTTGTAGCATGTGTCAGAATTTCCCTCCTGAATAATATTCCATCATATGTGTAGACCACAATTTGTCTACTCATTAATGGGTTGATGAACATTGGGATTGTTTTTTGACTATTATAATAATGTCATTATGAACATTCATATACAACTTTTGTATTACATGTGTTGTTTTTTCTCTTGGTTATATACCAAAGAGTGGATTTTAAAATGTTTTTATTTTATATTTTTATTGATTTCAGAGAGGGAGAGAGATATAGAAACATCAATGATGAAAGAGAATCATTAATTGGCTGCCTCCTGCGCACCCCCAACTGGGGGTTGAGTCTGCAACCCAGGCATGTGCCCTGACAGGGAATCGAACTGTGACCTCCTGGTTCGGATGTTCAACCACTGAGCCACACTGGCCAGGCAAGAGTGGATATTTGATAACTTTATGTTTAACCTTTTTTGAGGAAAGGCCCAACTATTTTCCAAAGTAGCTACACCATTGTACAATGTATGAGAATGCCAATTTTTTCACCACCAATAGTTATTGTCTATCTTTTTTATTATAGCTATCCTAGTGAGTGTGAAGTCGAATCTCATAATTTTGATTTATACTTCTCTAATGACTAATGTTGAGCCTTTTAAAGAATAGCTTTATTGAGGTATAAATGATGCACAATAAACTGTACATATTTAAAGTATGCAATTTAATGAGCTTGGGCATAGGTATATGCCCCTGAAACCATAACCAAAATCAAGGCAATTAACATATCCATCCCCCCCAAATTTCTTTATACTTTTTTATAATCCCTCCCTCCAGTCTCCCCCATACCCCTTTACTCCATCCCCAGATAAACCCTGATCTGCTTTCTGTCACTACAGGTTAGACTGCATTTTCTAGAATCCTATATAATAAAAGCCTAATATGCTGAATGTCCAGTCATCCAGTCGTCCGTTCAACCAATCAAAGCGTAATACGCTAATGATATGCTAAGGCTGCTCAGCCGTTTGCTTTGACATGCACTGACCACCAGGGGGCAGACACTCCAACCAGTAGGTTAGCTTGCTGCTGGGGTCCAGCCCATCAGGACTGAGCGAGACTAGCCAGACACGCCCTGGAGCCCTCCCTCAGTCCCTCCCCGGCTGGCCAACCTCCCACATCCCTCTCTGGCCCCAATCGTGCACCAGTGGGGTCCCTCGGCCTGGCCTGTGCCCTCTTACAATCCGGGACCCCTAGTGGGATGTTGGAGAGCCAGTTTTAGCCCGATCCCGCAGGCCAGGCCAAGGGACCCCACTGGTACATGAATTCGTGCACCTGGCCTCTAGTTTTATATAAATGGAGTCATACAGTATATACTATTTTTTAGTATACTATCCACTTAGAATAATTATTTTGATAGTCATCCATTTCTCAGCAGGTTGTTCCTTTTCATATTTGCATTTATGAATATACTACAATTTGTTTATCCATGCACCTGTTGATGGCCATCCTAGTTGTTTCCAGTTTCAGGCTTTCACAACTAAAGCTGCTAGGAACATTTGTGTACAAGTCTTTGCATAGACATACCCTTTCATTTCTCTTGACTAAATACCTAGGAGTGAAATGGCTTGGTCAGACAACAGTTGCACATGTTTTGTTTTGTTTTTTTAAGTATATTTTTATTGATTTCAGAGAGGAAGGGAGAGGGAGAGAGAGATAGAAACATCAATGATGAGAGAGAATCATTGATTGGCTGTCTCCTGCGTACCCCCTACTGGGGATCGAGCCTGCAACCTGGGCATGTGCCTTTTGGCTGGAATTGAACCCAGGACCTTTCAGTCCACAGGCCAACACTCTATCCACTGAGACAAACTGGCTAGGGCAACAGTTGCATGTTTAACATTCTTAAAAAACTACCACAGTTTTCCAAACTGTTTTAACGTCCCCACTGCACTATGTCAGTTGCAATTGCTCCACATCCTTACCAACATTTTATATGATCAATCTTTCTTCATTTTAGCCATTCTAACAGTTGTCTAATTCCTTTGTTTTGTTAAAATAGCTTTATTATGTAGACACGTGCATCTAAACAATATATTAGTTGTAGCTGTTTTTGAACCTCATAGAAAGTGAAGGCTCTGACTTTACCCATCTAGTCTTTCTGCTGCGGGGACAGCCTCCTACCACATTATAGTCATATTCACACCCGCTCAGGGCGAGGCACACCGGGGGCATTGATCCAGGCTGAAGAAACAAGCAGCCTAACGCTATCAGCTGCCTCACAGCTCTGCCATTCGCCTTGTCACAGGCTCAGACCTTACCTGCCAACCTGAGGACCAAAGTCTGCTGGATGTCACCCAGTGGGTACCCCTCAGTGCAGTATCTCCCCCCTCTGCCCACATCCCGTCTCCCCTCTAGCCCTTTATTTGGTTTAGGGCATCAATATCCTTCCAGGTGCTGAGGCTCAAACCAGGAAAGCCTCCTGAATCCTTCGCCTTTCTCACCCCCAAACCTTCCATCTGTCTCCAAATCCTCTCCATGCAATTCTGCTGACATTTACAAGCACGTTATCTTGTTTCAGGTCCTGTTCCGGGGCTGGATCCGAGTTGAATGAGACCCAAGCCCTTTGGAGAAGCACACGCAGAAATCACAGCAACCATCTGTCCCTTCACTCCCCAGTCCTCCATCCACCTCCCCAGTGGGTCTCGCGGTAGTCCGGCCACTCCCGGGCTGAGGCACCCGCCCCAGGTTCTCCCTGCAGCGCTTCTTCCCGGCTGCAGCCCCAGCACACCCAGCTGGTCCTGCCTTGGCCTGACACTCTTCCGTGGCTCCCTGTCCTCCCCTGGATGGAATCTACATTTCTTTGTTTGACTCCTTTGCTCTTACCTGACTCTCTCCCTTTTTTCTTTTCCCTGACCTGATGCTCAACCTATAGACATCTCCCCTCCAGTCAAGCCAGACTCCTGACTATTACCCAACTTTCTGCTGCATTTCCACACCTCCCCTGCTTCTGCCCAAGATATTCCTCTACCTAGAAAGCCCTTCCTCCCAATGCCTGTCCTGAAGCTCTTAAAGAACTGACCCGTCCTTCTTGGACTCGCACACACCTGCTCCTCCACCGGCAGAATCGGTCCTCCTTCCTGGCATACTCTCTCGCAGCACTGATCCCAGCCTGACCTGTATTAGAGTCATTAAAGACTCACCTGTTTCCTGCTGTTAGACTAGAGGTCCCCTGAGAGCAGGGACAGCATTTATGTCATCTTTCCAGTCCCAGCCGCGAGCACAGGATCTACTACTCAGCAGGCGCAGGGCCAGGACACCGGGGCTCAAATTCCAGCTCTGCCACCTACCGCCTGTATAAACCTCAGAAAAGGTACCCAACCTCTCTGTGTCTCTGTTTCCTCATCTGTAAAATGGAAGGAAATACCCATCCCATCTGGTCATCAGAGGGATTTGATGAATTAACCCACATATAGTAAAGTACAGGAGGTATAGGTGGGGCCCTGGCAAGTAGCCAATGCCTGGCAGATGTTAGCTAGAAGGGATAGTGATTTGTTAAGTTAATAGGAGACCCCTCCCCTTACTCTAGAGCAGTGGTTCTCAACCTTCTGGCCCTTTAAATACATTTCCTCATGTTGTGACCCAACCATAAAATTATTTTCGTTGCTACTTCATAACTGTAATGTTGCTACTGTTAGGAATCGTAATGTAAATATCTGATATGCAGGATGGTCTTAGGCGACCCCTGTGAAAGGGTCATTCGACCACCAAAGGGGTCACAACCCACAGGTTGAGAACCGCTGCTCTAGAGAATCTTCATGTGAAGGGGCAGATACTTTCAATTAATCTTCAAGGGACTTCCTTAAAGGAAGGAATCCCCAATGCCTCCCCAACTTCCCTTGAGGAAGGGGGAGCCTTCTACCAGGGCCATCTAACCCTTCTTTCTCAGCATCAATGTAACCATGAGACCTTCCTCCTGAGGAAGCCTTCCAGCATTGGACTGCTTCAAAGAACCCCTTCCCTTGGCTTTTCTCTGATGTGAAGGCCCTATGACCACAGCTACTCCCTCCCTCCTGCTCCCCATCTTCACCTTGCTCTCCCCTTATTCTACAAGGGATGCAAGCCCTTCCAGGGACCCAGACCACTTCCAGGTCAGCTCGAGGTTTTCCACAGGCCGCAGCTGCAGCTAAGAGAGGCCCTGGAGAGAGAACATCTTGTCCAAACCTCCCTGCCGCCCCTGTTGTACACATGGATAGGATAAATGCAGGGTGCTCAGTAAATTAGAAACTTAGATGACGCTGTGAGTGATCCTTTAGTATAAGTATGCCCCAAATATTACATGAGGTTTAATTATACTTAAAAAAAATATTTGTTGTTTTTCAAAATTCAAATTTAACTGAAAATTCTAGATTTTTGTTTGCGAAATCTGGCAACCTTATGTAGAGTGCAGGGTGAGGGTGAGGGTTCAAGGATAGGGAGGGGGCTTAGGAGGAGAGAGGGACTCAGGGTAGAGAAAGGAGGTCAGAAAGAGGGGTTCCTCCTGGAGCTCAGGGAGGGGAGAGGGGGCTCCATAAGGGGTAGGGGCGTGAGAAGGAGGAGACTGCTCGAGGAATGGGAAATGAGGAAGAGACTTAGAGGCCGGAGAGGGCTCAGAAGGGATCATGGAGCTGGTGCTCAGGGAATGAATGGGGTTCAGTGAGCTGGTTAGGAGCTCAGGAGAGAGGGATTTGGGGACTAGAATGAAGTTTGAAGATAGGCTGGGGCTCAGTAGGCTGTCACTGGCTCTGGCTCTGCCCACTTGAGCCTGGCCCCACACCTGTGGCTCCTCCCTTCTCAAACCCAGCTCACAGTTTGGGAGCAGGGGAGAGAAGGGGCAAAAGGTGAGCAGGCACGAGCAAGTCCCAGACAGGGATTGGCAGGCACCTAGGCCCATGGTCTGGGCCATGACTGCTCCACAGGCTGCCAGCAGCGTGAGCAGCTGCCACCCACGTGCTAAGGAGAGAAGGAGGCACCAGATCTAGGGGGCAAAGGACACGCCGAGCAGGCTTCAGGCAGGTGGGGCGGGCAGTGCCCACATCCACACCCACTGCTAAAAGCAGGGTCAGTGCAGCACAGCACACAGAGCCCTCTGCCGCCGGTGCAGACAAGACGTCTGAGAGCAGCTGCCATCCCAGCATCTCACGGGACCCAGGGAACTCCGCGGTCCTGGTGGGGACCCATGCTACTTGCAGATTGCACGGAATCCAGGTGAGAGACATGGAGGGTATCAGGAGGGCGCAGGTGCCTAGCCCGAGGGGAGTCAGAGCCTCCCACCTTTCAAGTGGGGAGGGGCAGTTCTATGGCTCTGGGGGAAGGAGTTAATACTCCTGTGGACCTGCCCCTTTACTCAGGCTCAGCTGCCAGGTGGACAGAGGCAATCTCTACCCCAGAGAGGACTCAGGATCAAGAATTCAAGAGTTCATCCCACCTGCCCTTCCAGGAGCAGAGGGTGAAGTGCACACAGGTTCCTGCTGCCTCCGGATCCCACTGGCCGGGCTGGGGTTGAATCGTGGTCTAAGAAGCTCAGTGTGGGCCCAGAAAGGCAGAAGGAAGGGCCCTACGGGTGTAGAGAAGAACCAGGAGAGAAGCTGGTTCCAGGTGGGCCCGTGGATCAGGGGCAGGACCAAGAGCTCCCCCTGACGGGACATGGAGGAGTCAGATGTCACAGTGGGGCAGGGAAGCCAAGTGGATTCACAGCCACCAGGCTTCTAGCCAGCAGGTAGGGGCTGGAGAAGTGGGAAGGGCACTTCCACTGGTCTGGCCGGGAAGGCCAGGACTTCCTTCCAGCTCCCAGGCACCCTGCCCCCACCTGTGTTTCCTGAGGCCCCCCTGGTGGTCGAGTAGGCCAGGTCAGGCCTGGGCTGGTTTGAGCAGATTTGGGTTCTTGTCTGTGTATGACTGTGTGACTTTGGACACATCACTTCCTTTCTCTGGGCCTGACTCTCCCTCTGACATGGGGAGGCTTGCTCCTGGGCCACCAGTGTGGAGATAGGGATGTTCTTGTCTGTGTATGACTGTGTGACTTTGGACACATTACTTCCTTTCTCTGGGCCTGACTCTCCCACTGTGACATAGAGAGGCTTGCTCCTGGGTCACTAGTGTGGAGATAGGGACGGAATAAAATGGGACACCACGCCTGGCCGGTGTGGTCCAGTGGTTGAGCATTGACCCATGAACCAGGAAGTCACAGTTCGATTCCCAGTCAGGGCACATGCCTGGGTTGTGGGCTCAATCCCTAGTAGGGGCGTGCAGGAGGCAGCCAATGGATGATTCTCTCTCACCATTGATGTTTCTATCTCTCTCTCCCTCTCCCTTCCTCTCTCTGAAATCAATAAAAGCATCTCTTTCTTTATAAATGGGACACCAAGATGCCCTGGAAGACAGGGCGGCCCACTCCAAGCAAGGGCCCTCTGGTTCTTTACCAGGGGGATGATGTCACAGGGTCAGCTTAGTCAGGTCGTAGGTGGGGCCTGAGTCTAGCCCAGGCTTCCCTCTTGCCCAAGTTCTCCTCTTATTCTCAGCACCTGGCCTGCCCTGTCTCCTGCCCAGGCCCCGGATCCAGGGCAAGGCTGAGAATAGGGCCCTGGTGAGCTCATCGGGGTGCAGAGAGGGTGACCTGGGGAGGGCATGAAGGCCCCATGCATCCCCGTCGCCCCATACCTTGCCCTCTGCATTGTTTCCCTTCAGCTGTTCTGAGTTGTGTCCTTTATGATAAACTGGTAAACATAAGTAAGGCGCTTGCCTGAGTTCCTGAGTCTCTCTAGCCAATTACCAAACCTGAGGAAGAGGCTGTGGGATCCCTGATTTATATAGCCGGTTGGTCAGAAGTACAAATGACAACTTGTACTTGTGATTGGTGTCTGAAGTGGGGGCAGTGTTGTGGGACTGAGCCATTAACTTGTGGGATCTGACACCACCTCCAGGTAGATAGTGTCAGAACTGAATGGAGTTGGAGGACACCCAGCTGTGTTGGAGAATTGGAGAACGGTTTGGCAAATACTGGTAAACAGTGGCCCTGGACATGCTTGCAGACCGACAGACTCTTGTCATGACAGCTCTTCTTGGTGAAACACTAACTCCAGATTGACCCCCACCGGCTGCACTGTGATACTGATAGCTCACTCTCCTCCCCTGGCTGTTCACAAAATACTGAGAGGCTGGCTGTTCTGCCTGTTACAGGGAGGGGAGCTGAGGCCCAGAGAGGCTGGCTGGCTTGCCTGACCCATGGGACCCTGATGAACCAGCCCCTGGGGCCTTCCTTGGGCCGTAAAGAGAAGCCTCCCCGCCTCCCATCTTCACAGAATGAGAATGAATGCCAGGCGTGCTGGGGTGGGAAGCTGACCCTCACCTTCCCCAGCGTCAGGCTAGCCAGACAGGGAGCCTTTCCTGTTGCTTAGACAGCTCTGATCTCTGGACTTTGGCGCCTCAGACAGAGAAGAGGGGGTTCCCATGCCATCATCTACTCCACTATCTGCTCTTATTTTCTTTACTTTTTTTGGAGGGTTTTTTTTTTTCTGGTTTCAAAAACAATACACTGGTATTAGGCAACTTTAAAATTTATAGGAATTTGCAAAGTGACTGTTTCTGTTACCCACCCCTCCAAAGACCATCAGTGTCATCGTTTGGTGCCTATATGTCCAGACTTGTCTTCTCTTTTTATATTGAATGTTTACTATTATTTGTTTTTACTCAAATGGGATCACACTTCACATATTGTAACTTACTTTTTAATCAGCATTGCATCCTTTTAAAAAAATATATTTTTTATTTATTTCAGAGAGAATGGGAGAGAGAGTGAGAGAAACATCAATGATGAGAGAGAATCATTGATCTGCTGCCTCCTGCACACCCCACACTGGGGATCAAGCCCGCAACCTAGGCATGTGCCCTGACTGGGAATTGAACTGTGACCTCCTGGTTCATAGGTTGATGCTAAACCACTGAGCCACGCTGGCCGGGCAATCAGCATTGCATCTTAACCACCTTTCCCTAGTACTATACCTATATGATAATGATAGGGAGCATGTACTAAGCACTTTGCAGGTATTAAATCACTTAATTCTCATAAAAACTGTAAGAGGTAAATACTATTATTACCCCCATTTTACAGATGAGGTTGTTAACAGCTACATGATATTCCACTGTGGGGATTTATCAAAATTTATTCAACCACTCTCCTTTTCCTCAGTATTATAAACAGTGCTGCAAGGAACATCCTTGCACATCTTTGCACACATATGGAAGTATTTTTATAGGACAAATTTCTGCAATTGAACTTGGGTCAAAGAGTCCCAACATGTTTGGAGTAATAGATTTTGCCAAATGGTCCTCCAA